AATGGGTAGAATGGAAAGGGTCTTCTGCTTTGTATTCTATTTCTTGGGCAAATCTTTTAGCCTCTCAGATTCTGTCTTCTACTTAATGTAAAGTGTTAGACCAGATAACGTCTAAGTGAGATCTCTTCCTGCTCTTCTAATTTTTTTTTTTACTCAGTTGCTTCACAAACCAGTAAGTTTTTCACAATTTCTCAGTGGATATCAAGGACACACAGATGAAGGAATCCACAGGGACATTTGTTTAATCAAGAAGCACATGTTCGCTGACAAGCATGAGTGCTGTTGCCTTTGTTGGCTCCAAGTATTTGTTTTCTGATTTAATATCACCCTTTCCTGAGCAGGTCTACATGGGTTTGAGAGAAAATTTTTAAAAACCTAAACAACTAAATGGAAATGATAAACTGTCATTGTGTACAGACCTTTCTTGGGAGTAAAATGGAATTGCATCCAAAATCTGTGATCTTCACTACCATTCTGCTGTCTACCAGCAGTTGGTGGATTCAGACGACCATGGACTTCAGTCTACTGGAGTGCAGATATGACATCCCGTATTTTTCAGATAACAGGAAAACAAAGAAATGCGACATGCTTGATTATTTTAAAGAAAGAAGTGCGTTTTGAAAATCATTTTGGCATAGACATAGTCACATCATCAGATTTTAAATTTAATGCCATTGATTCTTACTTTTAAAAATATTGTTAAAGCCCTAATATGATGCTTACACACATGTTATCAGTTGAAGTCTATGTAAGGTGGCAGAGTAAAAAAGGTAATTGTCTGAAAACTTTGGATTAGTGGTTGTATAATATAATATGAGGTGAAGGGTTGATTGGAAAAATAGAATCTGCGTTACTGCTGTATTTGGTCTTTGACGCTGGTATGTCTTGTCGCTATTACTCAGTTTGAAAATGATGATAATAAACCTTGCTTTCTGAAAAGGAGGCTAGGCTATATTTATTCAAAAAAATGGAATTGGTTTCAGCCTATTTTGAAATAGAATGTTCTTTCCTTTTGTTTGTAAAGAGGAAGCCCATGTGTGGCGTGGTGCTGCCCCTGGTGGTTAGAGGCGTCTCAGCAGAACCTGGTTTTCAGCCCGGATCGCCTGTGTGTAGCAAATGGACTACTGTAACATCTTTTTGAACTGACTCTAAGCCTCTGTGCTTTCAGGTTGATTATAACTGTATCCAAACAGCTCACTCTCAGGACCAACTTTTCTTCATTCTTGAATGAGGCCCAGTACTGTGTCCTTTTCTGTTTTCACTTGTGGAATATACATGTCCAAATTTATCATTGTGTAAAATGGCTAACATTTCTCTTTATAAAGTAGAGAATTCAGTTGTCACACCTAAAGTTTTATGTTTCTGATTTGAAAATCTGTGGAAATGCATTCCCTACACCCAAGATACAAGAATATAATAATAATAAAAGAAACACCAACAATACATATGAAACCAGGCTTTGCAGTAAGCACATGCATTATTCATAAAGTTCTCACAACAGCTCTGTGACATGGCTCCTATTTATTATTTCATTTCACAGATGAAGAAAACCAATGCACAGAGTGAATAACATGCTTGATCTGTATTCCTATATTTAATATTCACAATTTTTCATGTTTGTTGGTCTCTTACCTTAGCAATGTCATACAAGACAGAATCTTAAATTCCCAATCCATGAAATACCATCAGGTAGGAAATTGTGTCATTTAAAACTTCCTGAATGGGAGGGCAGAGAAAAAAGATGCATTGTTGAAAGGAAGGAAGGATATTGTGAGAGATGATTATGAGCCAGAGAATGACTTCTAATCATGAAACCTTAGGATCAGGAACAAATTGGAACCCATCGTCCTGGTCTTCATGAACACCTATTCTTTTCTTCTCTGTGTAAGAAGTGTTGAGTGTTTACCACGAGGAGGTGAGCAGGAGGTACGCATAGCATCCTGAATCCCATTTCTTCATCAGATGGGATAAAGGAACGAGCAGCCCCCACTTGGAGGAGTGGGCAAGGCCTGCTTGACAAAATGGCTGCACTTTTGTGTTCTGTCTCATCCAAATTGGACTATTGCTTTTGTTTTGAGACGAGTCTTGCTCTGTCTGCGGCTAGAGTGTGGTGGTGTCATCATAGCTCACTGCAACCTCAAACTTCTTGGCTCAATCAATCCTCCTGCCTCGTCTCCAAAGTAGCTGGGACTACATGTACCATAATGCCCTGCTAATTTTTTGTAGAGATGGGGTCTTGCTATGTTACTCAGGCTGGTCTCGAACTCCTGGCCTCAAATGATCTTCCTGCCTTAGGCTCCCAAAGTTGCTAGGATTTCAGGCGTGAGCTACTGTACCTGGCTTAGACTATTGTTTTTTAACTAGGAATTGGTATTATTGGTATTAGAAAATTTCTTCATTGGGCTTATGTTTTTACTCACATTATCAGTTGAATCCAGAAACATAATCACTCTTATTTTATTTTATTTTTTTTACATTTACTAAGTCCCTTGTCAATGAGAGAGAGATTTTACATTTTTTGTGAATGTATGACCTGGAATTTTGAAATCACTATTTTAACATGATGATGATTCCATCAGGATACAGGGTTTTAATTAATCTAATAAATAACTGTTTTTCCTCTAAACAAGGCTCTTACTGATAACCTAACTATAGTTTCTTATTTTAGGAAAAAGCTCACTTTGACCTTAAGTTTTAACTCAGGCACTGTATGAAGAATTTCCAAGCAAGGGTCTAAAGTCATTAATCAGGCCGGGCATGGTGGCGCATGCCTGTAGTCCCAGCTACTCAGGAGCTTGAGCAGCAGATTGCTTGACCCAGGAGTTTGAGGTTGCTGTGAGCTAGCGTGACCAGGCACTCTAGCGACAAACAGAGTGAGACTCTGTCTCAAAAAAAAAAAAAAAAAAAAAAAAAAAAGTCATTAATCATTTCAGATAAAACTGGCTGGGCTGTGATAACTAGATCAAGTTAAGGGAAGGTAGTTGTGAACAGACAGACTCTAAATCTCTCCCTTCCTACCCTTTTTCTCCCTTTGTCTCCCCATCTCTTACCCTGTTCTCATCTGCCAAATTGTAAAAGTTGATTATAAAAGGAATACATTTATTATGGGAAAATGTGAAAAAAAATTACAAAATATAAAAAAGAAGAAATAAAACCACCACTAATTGTACTATCTAATCTATTCTCATTTTGGTATTTTCCTCTAGTCTTCTTTGATGTATCTATATAGAATATATGTAATATATTTCACAAAATTGGGACCACAACTCATAATCAAGTTTATATGCAATTTCTGAGCAATTTTAATAGGTGGCTTACTTCGGGGTTTTTTGGGAAAAGTTATTGAATGTAACCTCTAGAGCAGGCACAGTGTTTGGCGCTGAGATTACAATGGGACCTCTGATGGAGTTCACAGTCTGGTGGAGGCACCCAGGCTGGAGTGCAGGGGTGTGATGATAGCTCACTGCAGCTGTGAACTGGCCTCCAGCGATCCTCAGCCTTTCAAGTAGCTGCAACTACAGGTGTGCACCACCAATGGTTAATTTTCTTTTTTAGTAAAGATGGGGCCTCGCTATGTTGCCCAGACTGGTTTCAACTCTCGGCCTCAAGAGATCCTCGCACCTCAGCCTCCCAAAGTGCTGGGATTACAGGCATGAGCCACTGCGCCCGGCCCAAACTTTTCATTCTCCCTTCCACAAGAGGTTCTTTTCCCATGCAATTCTCTCTTCCCAAAACTTTTGCTTTCTTACTTCATTTGATCTAACAAATGAAATAACAAATCCCCAGATTTTAGGCTCTTTTCATAGTACTTCTCACAGTTATAATTATATATTTATTGGTCTCATTATTTTATGAATGTCAGTTTTCTCCACCAGACTGTGAACTCCAT